GTTCTTGCATGGGTCTATATGGTCCAGAGTAATAGAAGAGAGAATAAGGTTTAAAGGAGTTGAAAGAAGGGATCAGTCAGTGTAGATTGGCCTTATGGAAGAAATGAGACTTGGGCTACACCTAAAAGGAATGATGATTACTGATGTACTGAAGAGGCATTGGGGACCGCTGTGTAGGTGGTAGTGATCCTGAGAGTTCCACGAGAGGGGACAATAGATAATCATGGGTTGTTGTAAAACACTGTCTCTTTGGGGACGGGTCAGAGAAAGGGAGAACAATAACATATAAAGAAGGTGTGGCCAGATGAGTGAGGACTACAAACTCCTGGTCAGCAATTATGGAATTGTATTCTTAGGACAAAATTCAGGAGTCCCTGAACACACTACTCTTTCTACGACCTTTTCCGTTACTTGTTCCTAATACTTAGGAAGGATGGAGAAGCAGAGGTAGGGTGTGTTGTTTGATTTGACTCCCTGAAATATTTTCCACAATTCACCTGCATTTCAAAACACATATTAGCAGTATGCTCTGAAAATACAAACACAACAGGTACACACACCATGTACTCCATTTCATTTTTCAAAGTTCAGCTAAAATTTTAAGAGACCCTTGAGATGGTCTCGCTGCCATCTTCTAAAAAAAGGGACGCTCATTGTCCCTCTCCTAATAACTTATGAGTTCAGTAGTTAATACCAGAAGAGTTATCCAGATCTGGATCAAGATAAAAGGCAAAAGCAAGGCCCTTCCCCATAGCTTTGCCTCTCCTGGTGCAGCTGTTGTAGGCATGGGTGGCACAGACAATGGGGACAGCCCAGTCTCCTTCCATCAGTCCTGCTGAAAGGAAGCAAGGCGCAGTGGGAGCCTGGTGGGAAGAGGTAGATCCCAGCAGCTGGTCTCCCATTCTTCCCAGAAAGATGGGGAGCCAAGAAAAGCAAGAGGAGTGCTAAATGTGGGCGGACCTAAGCTTAGAATGCAGCTGCCCTTTCCCTCCGACTCTGAGCAGCTGAAAAGGGGCCAGTACCCACTAATTTCTATTTTGCCTTTTAGTTTTGCCAACCAACTCTGGTTGTGAATTGCCTCAAGGAAAGCTCTTTATTACCTAACTGAAAATATTGACAAGAAAAATATGAAGTTTAAAACACTCTATGGCCACGACTTCCACTGTCACCACCCTTAACAAGTAATTTGCTTACATCTTCATGTATTAATGCAAACATCTCTGTATTTTGTTCACTAGAGAGATTCAGACAACACCAAGGATCATTTCTTCAGAAACAAGAACTTTTTATTTGGTTAAAAGGAGCACAGGGACACTTGAAGACCAGATAGTTACAACTCTCTCTTGAGGAGAAGGAGCCGCAAGCATTGAAAGAAACTAGGAGCTAAGACAGAGAGGAGTTTCTCTCCTAGCCAAACCCTCAATAACGAGCATATGATCACCAACACCCTCCAGCCCATTTTCACACTAATTCATAGTCACTTTCCTGGCTAAAATGTTAGTGTGCTGTGCTTTCCTCCATACCAATGGAGCCACTCCCTTGGTCCAAATGTAAAACCCCTTTGTATGCTAATAGAGGCTAAACAGAGCTAGAAAAAACTTTAGACAAACTGTGCAGCTACCTGCCTCCAGTTTCAATCCCAGACCCCAAACAACCCTCATTGTTTTGTGTGCGAGGGAGGGACCAAATTGATTCCAGAACCCTCAGAGAGCTACTTCTGGTTATATAGGCAACATGTGAAGACATATGATTTATATTCTGTATGCCACGTTTTTGTTCTAGATTGAGTACATTATTGTTTATATAGTTATTAACAAAGTTATTACAAAATCTGTTGAATTTTAAATTAAAAATAATTGTAAGGCACATGTCTTGCACAATTGAAATTAGACAATTCTTGCCTCTAAGTAAAATATTTGAGTAGATTAATACCACAGTTAATGAAATAGCTTCTTATTTCTGAAGAGATTTCCTACACATTGTCTGATCCAATGCAGAGAATCTGGAAGAAGATGAACCATTTCTAGAAAGAAAACTTTTTCTAGGTGATAGATTTTATGTGTGTGTGAATTCAGATGACAACAGTGATGAATTTCTTTAATCAAAACAGCATGTACTGAAAAATGAAACACCATAAAAATAAATATTAGAACAGTCCATTTTTATCAAACACTTATGTAAAGGTAAAATATTTTTGCACACAGTAAATTTCAATACAATTTACATTACATTAACTAGATTACAACCTATGAAAAGTTAAAAAAAAACAAAAGTAACTCCTTCCAACCCACATACTTCTGATGTGTTGATAGCAATTTTATCTGCATGGTCCATTCCATTTACTTGAAGTTTGGGTGCATCAGTTAGCAAAATAAGCATGTCTCACTCCATTATTAGCACAGCGTATTTTGTAAATTAAATAAACATAGAAAAATCATTTAACTATTTGCCTCAAGGGGGAGCTTACAGTTCATCTTGCAGATCCTTTGAGATTTCAAGCCATTCCAAGCTAATGTTCTGATGTCATTCCTTATACAGATCCAGAATTATAAAACTGTTTTCTTTTCTGGAGCCAAGTCAATGAATTATTATACTTCCATGCCACTTTCTTTTCTCGTGCTTTTTGAAATCCACAGTGTGGACTGGTTTGGGCTAGTTTTTGTTCTTCCTTTACTGAAAGACATAAGAAGAAGTAAGTTCAATGTATGAGACTTTTTATCAAACTAGGCATGATTTGGTCCAAATGGAGATTTGGAGCCTTATTATAATAGGGTCCTTCTCTCACCAGCATATTTTTTCATTCCTACAAAAAATTCTAGATTAATCCAATATGTGCAGATGGTAAACAGTTCATAGGAAATAATAAAAAATAAAATAAAATAGATCGTTTTCTGTTTGACCCTTTGTAACTTGGAATTCNATATATATATATATATATATATATTCAGTTGAAGCTGACACTGTGAATTCTTCCCATCCAATTGTTTCTTACTACTTATTGTGCAAATTTGGTCCAAGTTGCAGCAAAACCAGCAAAAGAGGAAGCCACTGAACTGCTCGCTGTCATTTTAACTAGTCACATTTGGCTGTAATTGCAGTGGAACTCCAACAGCTGGGAAACAAATGTTGCCCTAATTCCCAGAAAAGTTCCATTAATATGGATCTTCTGGAAGGAACTTTTCCCACTTCTCTAAAGGCTAATCTTCCTAGAGAACCCTTATGGTTCTGTGATACCACAGGGAGAATTTTCTTTCCTCCTACTTTTAAATAGTATATTCAGATAACATTGCCCATCCACTAGTATTTTGAAATATAGGAATTCTAATATTCCATTGTTACATCTATTACACCTAATCTTCCAGCTACTATCCTACTTCCCATAAAGTATGCATATAAATATTCAGATACATATTAACAGTTTTTATTACATGAAGGCTACCTTGACATTGTCTAAAAATAATATACTAAATGTTACCATCTGGAGTCAGAAACATTATTTGATTGTTGACTTATTTACAAGACAAAGAAAAGGCCTTCCACCTAGGAGTCTACACCTATTGGTTTCTCTCTCTCTCTCTCTCTCTCTCTCTCTCTCTCTCTCTCACACACACACACACACACACACACACACACACCTACATATATACACATGAACTTTTATTTAAAGATACTTCTCAGTATTGCCTATTAAAACAAATATTCCTATCAATGTCACAGCTAAGATCGTGCTACCATTTCCATGAATATATGGTTTTCTCCTTTTTCTTAGTCACTAAAACTACTTTAGAGCTAAGTATTGGCAGAGTTTTAAATGTTTTGGGCAATGGTGTAAAAGTGGGGCAAAACTCATAAATGCATGGTAGTTTACTATGATTTGGTTCCATTTTGCTTATATTAATTTTCTAAGAGTTGAGTTCTCAGTTAGGAAAGTAATGACATTTTTCCTACACCTTGCAGTATAATCATATATTATGAATATTAAATAAGTATTGAATTTATGTCAGATTTTTCAATAAAAATGTAGAAGACATTTTATGAATGCCTATTGTTCAATTATGATCTAGCCTTAGGTTGCAAAGAAAAAAGTTGTACAAAAAGGGATCTACATGACAAACCCAAACCAGACTGACTGGACTTGGGGCATTTTACTAGAATCCCACAGAATCAATTGTTTTTCATAATTCTCTCTTACTCCCCTTAGAATCCCACTGATAAGTGTGCGGATATACAGTATACAGTGTAATATGACCTCCGATAGCCAACACTACTAAACTAGAAAGAAAGAATGTTATTGATCCCGTGTTCTGCTTTCAGTGTTCAATATTACACCAACTTCTTAAGAATTTTTCTTCATAAAAAAAAAACGTTTTATTATAATAAACTTTGTTTTTGGAACAGAGATTTTATAATGCAATTAACTGCACAGTACACTCTTAAGATTGTGCTGGAATCCCGTTTTCCTAAATTGGCAANCAAAACTGCGTTTAGCAATCAATGACATGTCTCTGCTGATGACAGCCTGCTACAGGCAATAATGACAAAGCAGGCCCAACTCTAAGCAAAGATAAGCAAGAATTGGAGATCATAAAAGTGTGAGATACCAACTAGAATTCAATGACAAGCAAAGATGACTTTGTTGCTAATATCAGTGTAATAAACAGCAGAAGACTGTATGTGATTGTATTTAGAATTGATTCAAATAATAATGTTCTAAAGCACATTTCTGTTCTATACAAACAATGCCATCTAATAATTGCTTTCCAACAGCGTCTACCTCTAGTCTTGTGAGTTGTTTCCATCCCCGGTTTTATGAGATGAGATCTCTTTAATTGCCATGCCCTTAAAAATGTTGAAATACCCCATCAGGATATGGTATGGCTCTGTCACCTAGTTGTTTTGTTTTGTTTTTCTTCAGTTCCATTTGTTAAATTAATAGCTCATTGAATGCAAATTGAATTAGTAAGAAAATACCCTGTAAATTTGTTTTCATTTGTCCCAAAATTATAATTTCCTGTCTAGTTTTTTCAAGTGATGGAAAAGGAAAAGCACATGCAGCATCTCATATTACGTTTAGAGTAGTAAATCATTTTTAATGTAATGTTTACTTCTCTAATTTGGCCACATTGTCTCTATTCATTACAAGTTTAATCATATACCACCCTGTAATAATTCTTGTTACTCTTGTCTACGTATTTCACCCCAATGCTCTAATAGACCCCTCTAGGTTTCAGATACAGTCCTACCCCTATGCTACACTCATTCTTCAATAGAACTTAGGCACTCTATGCCTAAGCTCAGCTAGTATTTGCTGAACAAATAATACAGACATTATGTAATTTATCAACATAGAACTGGTTATTTTAAAAATAATTTTAATAAACTTTAAGTTAATGCAATTGCTGAGTAAGTGACAAACTTTCAGAAACATAATCCCATAGATACTATTTTATAATGTCTAAGAACAAGAGTATACAGTGCAATTTTAATAAATATAAAAATTAGATTCAGATGTATCCCCATTAAAATGTCCTTGGATAACATTGATAGACCTAAAGAATAGATATGCAATTCACAGGACAATAACATAAAATGGTATAGGAGAGAGTGAAAAAAGTCAGAAGTGAATTATTCAGTTTCTGCATACCCAGGTTAAATTTTTACCACTCTGAATATCATGAGTCACTCTACTAGATGGTGTGTTGGAGCAGAAAGAGGAGATTAAATTCAAATCACACAGCAGTACTGGTGTAGTTGAAGAATAGAGTTCAAAATAATTAGTGTTATAATTTGTAAATTTTAATTAGTCCCACTGCTTAATCCTCCAACACCCTCACCACTAAAAAGCTAACCACTCATCACTAAAAAGCAATGACTCCATAAGTAAGGAATTTAATCAAACCAATATCCTTCATAAATAAAACACTAAGCTCAAGGAAGGTTAATTAAATACAAAATAAATAGGTGAAGATGAAAATATTTAAAGTAAGCCAAAGAATAAAAATTCTAAGTACATTAAAAAGACCAACTGTATAACTGTTCATGTGCTTCAAAAACAATAAATACATAAATGAATATTGTTCACAAAGTATAGATATTTGAAGATTTAGGTAGAATATAGAAGATCAAGGAAAAAAAATTTATGTCTACAATGCTCTTCCGTGAGGAATACAAACATAGATTATCAAATGCAAAACAAGTCACGAAGATCCTGGGGATAATGCCATCCTGAATAATGTGGTAATTCTGAAGGCAAAAAATAAAATAAAATAAAATAAACAAATGTACTTAGGTCAAATAGTTAATCTAAAAGCTCAAAGAAAAAAGACAGCATTGTATTAAGAAGATTCTATAATATACTTTGTTTCATTTAATAGATTCGAGTACATACTACTACAAATTTAAACTACCAGAGAATGTCAACTTTATATTTTTCTAAGAAAAAATAAAGACAAAGAACATAAAAGCATAACAGATTTAGCTTTGTAAAGGCTTCTAGGAGGGTAATGATGGATTTAGCAACTGAGGAGTTTAAAGAATAAACTCACCAGGGACAGAAAGTTGGCTAATATACTCAAGAGCANTTTAGGGTTTATTTCAGGAAAAGAAAAGGTGAAGTAAAGTCAGATGAAAAATGACTTATTTGCAGTCCCCTCCCTGATGGACACATTCCCTTGATCAATTTTTAGTGGAAATGCTCAGGCAAAGAAGCCAGTGTATTCTAGCAAACACGCACTTATTCAAACCCGGCATTTTTTCCTTTTTCATTTGGAACATATTTATATTTCATATATGAATTATTTTAATTTAATTAACAGTTGGACACACATGAAAACTTTTACCTCTAACTCAAGGGTATGCAGAAACAGATGTAAAAGAATATGCCCAAGAATTTTTTTGTGAAGATATATCATTTTATTTCAAGATGCCTACTAAAAAGTGACCTATTTTTACCACTGTTCTTTATTTCCTACACTTCAGAGATCCTTTTGAAATAAAACAGAAGGCTATGACTTGAAATCTTGAAAAGGTACTACAAAGCACACCTACAAAACTCAAGTCACGCATACAACTTGAGGTCAAGATCTAAAGGTTTAGCATTCCTTATCCTTAATAAACAAGGGACAGTAGGTACTGTCATATATGTTGTAGGCTTACAAGCATTTGAATTTCAGATCTACCACACACACTAGCTATGAGACTGAGGCAAATTGTGAAACCCATCTAAGCCACCATCTTCCCAATTGAAAAACAGAAACAGAACGGTACCCACTTCATTTGGCTTGTTAGGATTAAATGAGATAATGCATGAATCCTATAAAAAGGTATATCTTATTAGATTGTGTAGACTGGATTTGTCCTGACAGATAACAAAAATCAGAACTTTCTTCAGGCAAATTAAAAATAGAATTTTATACTAACATTTTTAAAGAGTTCTGAAAACTTATTTAAAACTTTTCAAGGTGTCTCTACATATATGAATTATTTACCTTTTATGCAGCATCTGGAAACAGCAGGTTCCAAAAGCAACCAGTATCAATAAGAGCAGTGGGATTGTTGGTATAACAACATAAATTAGATTGGGGATTATGCCTGCAAAAGCAAAACAGTCTTAGTGTAAAAAGACAATTGAATCAGGATTCTAACACCAAAGTTATATAAAAATTTTCCAAAAACTTAAGGTAAAATAGAATTATTATCAATAAAAAGATTCCAAGAAAGGTTCTTCCCTGCACGCTGAATAATCAAATAATATATTCATGCTTGTTAAAAATTAAAAACAAAATCATACTGTACTGGTTGCCATGCTCTAATTCAATGTCCATATTTCCAGAACTATTATTAAATTTGCAATTCAGATAGCAGCTAGTTTCCATAATGTATTAATAATCTTAGCTATCTCACTTCATTAATCCTTCTCAGTTCTTAGAGAAACAAGCACTGATTATTAAAAAATAATCATTATTAAAATAACTGTTGATTTATTTGATATAACATTATCCTAACCAGTAAGTTCAGTGCCATAATGATATGCAAGGCTCCCTGGGATTAAAGCAAAATATGTACATATTAAGTGATTATATAGTCATAACCCAGAGACACAAGACTCCAGAGTTATGAAGACTTGATCTTAATTAAATTCTAAAAATGAATCATTTTTTAATCCTGTTCCAACATTTGATAAAGTTGGGTATTCTTGGTAAAATAAAAAAAAAAA